ATTGAACAAAGGGGCCAAACACATTCATTGAAAGAAAGATAGCCTTCTCAATAAATGGTGCTGGGAAAACTGGCTTTCCACATGCCAACTGCTAAAATTAGACCCATGTTTCTCACCATGTCTAAGCTACAGTTAAAGTGGATCAAATATTTAAATACTAAAATGAAAGCACTAAAAATCTACTGGAGGAAAAAGTAGGTAGAAATCTTGAAAAGACATAGGGGTAGGCAAAGAGTTCATGAACAAAAACCAACTGCAGGGGAAATACTTCAAAGAATCAACATTTGGAATCTCATCTCTTTGAAAGTTTCTGCATGTCAATAGAAATAACCAACAGAGTAAAAAGAAAACCCACAAACCAGGAAAAATTTTAGCCAACTGTCCCTCAAATAAAAGACTTCTACCTAGAACATATAAAGTATTTTTAAAAATCAGCCCCCAAAATTCAAACACCCAATAAAAAATGGGCAGCTGAGATGAATACACACTTCTCAGATGAAGAAATACAAATGGCAAGTATATGAAAAATGTTCAACAGCATTGGTCATCCAAGAAATGAAAATTAAAAAAACGTAAAGATCCCATCTCATCCTAGAAAGAATGGCTATAATCAAGAAATTAACCAATAACAAATCTTGGAGGGGCTCTGGGGAAAACAAACCCTTCTTCTCTGTTGGTGGGACTGCAGATTTCTGTAACTACTGTTGAAATCAATATGGAGATTTCTAAAAACAACTAGGATTGGAGAGCCCATTCAAGCCAGATATTCCCCTCCTGGGTATTTTTCCAGAACTGAAAATCATCATACCATAACAATATAAGTGTACCCATGTGTATAGCAGTGCAATTTGTCATAGCTAAATCTTGGAAACAACCCCAATGCCCATCAGGTGAGGAATGGGTTAAAAAAAAAAGTGGTATTTTTATACAAAGGAGTATTACTCAGCTATAAAAACAGATAAACTCAAGACTTTTAGATGTAAATGGACTCAACTAGAGACTATTCTAGTAAGTGAAATAAATCAGACACTCATATGTGTAAACATCATACTGTCTCACTAGTGTAAGAACCTGAAACAGTAAATAGGATCTGAGAGGTACAATAAGACACTGTGAAAAGGAAAGAATCTGTTCAAAGGGAAGAAACGACTGATATGAGGGAAAGGAGAAAAGAAGGAAGGAAAGGAAAAAAAATACATACATACATACACAGGGTAGCTTGGATGACTGTACTGCTGTTTTCTCCTAGTCTATCGAAAGGAGCACTTTATACTTAGTATTTCTCTTTCTCCCTTTTAACTCTAATTTTTTGAACAATCTTGCAGGCTTATCTCTGGTAATGTGAACAACTAATTTGAAGACAACACTATGCAATTTAACAACCATTGTTGAATTCCTATTATTTTGCATAGTGAAATCCTGTATTGTGTCAGATACTTTTATTACTATTTTTGTATTCTTTAAAGATAAAAATTTAAAAATAAATTCTATAAAGTCAGCAATTTAACAAAAAACAATAATCAATGAGACAACCAAAAAATTATTGTTGACAGATGGTAAAGAGAAAAATAAGACTGTTGTCTATCATTTTTATAATTACAAGTCTCCATAATATATACATTGTTGTGTTCAATTAATGCAGTATGTGTAATAGTTTAAACAAATTTAATTCCAAATAACGTACAGATTAAATGAACATAAAAGGCTTTACATACCTTAAGGCTGCCTGTTAGATTCTAGAGAGATAAATAAAAACAATTGTACTTAACACTGATAAGTTACTCAGAAAAATTTATTATGACCCTAAAGTAATTAACATATAAATGTATCTAACTCCCTTTGACATATTGAACATTTTAAGTGCTTGATGTTACAATTAACATTTTAAAGTTCACTAGAATTAAAAATATTGTTAGGTCTGTAATTTTCATTTCTACCTTTTTAAGCTATGGACACTTTATTAATTATAATTAATATGCTTTCTTCAGTTGATTGTAACGGCTAGAAAAACAGAGGAAGCAAGAGTGTCCTCCGGAGCTTCTCACAATAATGAGGAAATAATTTAGACATTGGAAGAGAGTCAAGAATACTAACCTGGGGGGCCTGCCCCTTAGCTCAGTTCTTTAAGTGGCTGCTTCAACAAAGCAGTCAGGCTCAGGTTGCTGTGGTTCGATCCCCACAACTCAAGCCAGCCAAACCTGCCCTGAAGTCATTCGGAGCAAAAATAAAAAATACTAACCTGCCTTGTAAAATATAATTTCATATAACAAAACATCATTCAGCCAAAATGCAAATAATATTCTTGTTGAGAAACACTAGATACAACAAAACTTACAAATTATGACATTCTAAAACATGAGCAGTCTCATTATTGCAGTTACTATCATTCAAACTTTACAACTTGACTCTAAAATTTTTATGGAAAAATAAATGAACTAGGCCAGCAAAACAGCTCAGTGGCCTGCAGCACCTGCTTCGGCAAGTTTAGGCAAGCTCAGGGCCCTCGGTTTGATCCCAGGCACCACACGCTGCGCGCCCCACCCCAGGGCAGGCTGAGCGGCCAGGGTCCAAGCAGAGCGGCACACGCCTGTAGTTCCAGCGCTGGGGAGGCTGAAAGCAGGAGGATCACCACAAGTCTGAGCTGCCTAGTGAGACACTGCACCAACCAAAGACATTTAAAAAAGAAAGAAAAAAAAATTAAATAAACCAGGTTTGAAGAAAAGAATAAAAACATTTGATTGTCTAGGTATTTACTTATATCCATACAACTGCAAGTGATACTACACACAAGAGAAATAAGAATGGACAATTTAATGCATAAAACAGAAGAGAGGGGCCGGGGAGATGGCTCAGTGGAATAAGCGCTTCCCTGGCAAGCGCAAGGGTCTGAGTTCAATCCCCGGTTCCGCCAAAAAAAATAAAAATAAAAATAAAACAGAAGAGAAAGTCCTGAAAGAGGCACATGTATGCATGGAAATACAACGTGTGATCGCAGCTTCATGGCAGCTGTAGAAGGATGTACTATTCTCTAAACCACACGGGGATAATTGATCAGCCATATGAAAAACACAAAGACAGTTGGACCCATTGGTGTACTGGAGCTAGATCAAAGAAATACTGCTAATATTCAAGAATTTTTAAACCATATTGTTACAGCTTGCCATTAGCCACGGTGCCTTATGGAAACCAGCAAAGGTGACACACCAGGGCTCCTTCCCTAGAGCCAGCTTAACAGCACATCACAGAGAGCATTTCTACCTTGTACCATATACCAAAAATTCAGTTCTAAATGGATGAAAAATCTAAGCACTAGGAGCAAACTGTACAACACGGAACATTTGATGGAAAAGATCTATAGAATCACGGGACTGCAAAGTTCTCAACAAGCAGCAAAGCAACGCAACTCAAGGGACAAGATTACTAAATATGACTACATGATGATGATTTTTAAAAATACACTGAGTTGTTAAAGGACACCATTTATAAAGAAAGCAGCTTGCCTAGGCTGGGAGACAACTGCTACACATAGCAAAGGATTCATTTTCACAAATATATAAAATCCAGCTACAAATCAACGAGGAATAGAAGAAAAATTGAAAAATTGGCTAAAGACTGAAATGCTCAATTAGGCTATCTGGACTTCACCCATAACAGTATCAGGTATCTGGAAACAAACTTGTACGTTATGAATCACAAGATGGTATCCTTTCCAAAAATACGTACCTCGCAGGAAATCTCAGGGAACCAACCTGAGAAAATGATCTGAGAAACTTAAACAGTCCTGTGGGCAGAGGCTAGCTTGGCTAGTCACAGAAGTCAGCAGTAGTAGCAGAAAACGGAAAGAAACGAGCCTGCGCTGTCTGCAGCACTCCTGTGAGGCCATATGAAGAGCGCCTTTTTAAGAGCGCGTCACATCTAGACATCACGGTTCTGTGAGGTTAATCTTCTCAACTCTAATACACCTAGCAGCATGCTGAGCTACTACACAGCCTGCACAATTCATACTGAAAGTGGAGTTTAAAATGCAGGAGACGGAAGACGATGCACGCAGGTGACACTTCCAGTCCATCTGAGGTGTGGGCTCGATGGATAGCTCCTTCCCACCTCATAAATCACTCCAGTGTTAAAAATTTTGCTTCCACAGTCATGACTGTTGTCTCTGGGCTGCTCTTCGGCTACCTCCTTCTGTCCTACAGTTTTCATTGTAATTTCCAGCAAATTATTTTAAATTCTGTATCTCTAGCCTGATTTTCAAGCTCGCATTTCCAAGAGAAATGGATTACATTCCAAGACCCCACGCCCCAGGTCTACGGGCAGCCCCGTATCTCGTGCAGCCCACTCCCTGCTTTTTTGCCTCCTCAGCTAACCGTGATGCTCTCAAGGTGGGATTGCTTGCTTCCCACTTTTCCCTCGGATTATCTTCAAATACCGTTATTTTAAAGTAGTGACAACTAAAGAAACAAAATTGCGACAACCACAATTTCCACACGACCGGCGGCAGCGCACGGCGCTCAGAAAAGCCCGCGCCGGCCGCTCGGCCGCTCGGCCGCCGCAGCTTTCTCTAACGCGGCGTTCCGCGCCCGCCCTCTTCCCGGGACGAAGCTCCCCGGTCGGAAGCACACAGCTCGGCCGCTCGAGGCCGGTCGGCCGCGCGGCGGGAAGCGGGAAGCGGGAAGCGGGAAGCGGGAAGCGGGAAGCGGGGCGGGACCCGCCGGCGCCGAGGAGCCCTGCCCACACCGGCCGCACCACGCAGCGCGGCGCCACTGCTGCTCGAATTCCAGAAGCTAAGTGAAAGTGGGTTTTTTCACATTTTTAATTCCAAAAGCTGCGAGCAGCCCACTTTCGCAGGGAGCAGCCTCAGACGCGGGCGGCGGGAGCCGCTCAGGGCGGGCGACGCGGCGCAACCCAGGCGCTCGCGCGCAGCCCGGGCGCAGGCTCCGGCCACGCCCACTGGCCGCCGGAAGTGACGCAAGCCCGGAGCCGGCCGGGCCCTGCCCCGGAAGAGCCTCCCAGGTAGTAAATAATCTGTAGAAGGCGAGAGCGACTGCGTCTCCATTTTGTCGGCGCCGTCCCAGCGGAGCCTGTCGCGATGGGGAGCGTGCTGGGGCTGTGCTCCGTGGCGAACTGGGTAAGGCGGCCTTGTTCCGTCGCGGCGGCCAGCGGGGCCGGAGGACGGGACCCGAGGGGCCGG